GTCTTATATTATTGTCAAATATGCCTGATAAATTTGGTTAGTTCTACCACAAAATTCCGACATCCAAAATCTCGAAACCATAATCCCGGTGTGATAATTAATATTTAAAGACTTTAAATTTTAATTGTGATGTCAGTATTATGGCCAACCCCTGACCACAAAAATTTTCCGGAACGTGAATTTTAGCCAAACAGATCGAAGGATCAGGTGTCACGTGAAAATTCACGCAATTTTTTCAAAAAATCGCCAATAACTCGAAATTTCGCCTATGAAATTGCCATCTGCGTTTTAATAAAAAAAAATTCCTTGCAAAATTTTGGTATAAACTATGCCCTTTTCATGGCCTTAATCTAAACCTTAAAGATGTGGTTATTGATTTTAAACTTTCGTGTAATTCGATTGTTTTGATTTTTACGTTACACCTGATCTATCGACCTAATTGGCTAAAAAATCACGTTACTTTTAAATTTTTGATACGTTCGATGGACTTTTTTAGTCACTTTTTTCGCTCAAAGCAGTTTATGCTTTTAGATCATCAAGCAATAAAAATCACAATTTATTTTAATAACCAGCGGTTAAGCAAGTCTTTGTCTCTTTGTTTGCGGCTCTTCTTCAAAACTTTCTATTTTGTCAGAAAGTATTTTCCGAATCGCCGCAAACAAAGATCTTATACTATTTAGGCTGTTTTCATCTATTATAAAATTGTTCAAAGGCAGTTCGATTGGCCCGCTGGCACTTATTTCGTCGTCAGTACTGACCTTTGTAAAATACCACGAGCTGCCGGTGGAAACGATTCCATAGGCATCGTTCTTTCTTTCATATAACTATAAAAGATATAGAAACTATTAGTTTAAATTTGTTTCTAAAAGTATTTTAAAAGCATTCCAGGTTATAATTATACTATACTCAAATAATAGATACCTCGCAAACGCACTGTACTTGTGCAAAATTTTGCACCAAGCCATATTCTATGTTTAATGATTTGACGCAGAGAATATTCTCACCCTGCATAATGGTAAAGTCGAATCGACCTTTACCATTAGTGCCAGATAGAGAATATTCTCTGCGCACTATTACCTTTGGTCCTTCGAAGGTAGAGGTGACGCCATGAAGAATGGCGGAAATGTATTCACCTCTTTCCACTTCGTTAAGATTTTCTACATGTGGCGAAGTTTCCGCCAGCAGCTTTAAAATAATATATATATAATTAGTATTCATTCGCTTTGTACATATGATACAAAACAAATCCTAAAATTAAACTATACAAACCTTAATAATCTGTGCCATCAAAATTATTTTGCCTTCATATGGAGTTATATCCATTGAGGTTGCTATAAAAAATATTAAAAACTTAACAAACGAAATAAAATTAAATACATTAACATAAATTAATTAATATATTACTTACAAAGGTTTAGTTTTGGCAAATCACCAATCCTTTCAACCTTAACTCCAAAAAGCTTATTAAGCTGCGCCAGCTTTTTATATGACGAAAATGGTTGCTAAAAAAAAATAAAAACCAATTAAAATTTAATTTTGATCCATCATTGATCAAAATTTGTATATATGTTACAAATCCTAT